GGAAGACTCAAGTCACCTGGTTTAAAAAAACCCCACTTCCTCGAATATTAAAAGTTGTTCGCTTCAGTTCTACATGATAAGCATAACTTCTTCAGCAAAAATTATAATAGAGAGGCGATTACCCCCAAATGACAATGACCAGTAAGACAGAGTCATTTGGAGTAGAAGAAGCTTTCATACGAGGGAAGTCTTGAATACATATCACTATTTATGTAGTCTCTCAAAGAAAGAACTTATACCTTCAAGAGCAGACTCTTTACGCTCAACTTGTTCTCGGAGTACTGCTACCTGATTTATCTGGTCACATAAGAAAAGAAAGAGATTCGTAAGCAAATGCAAATATAAAAATTGGTTCAAAAACCTTGACCAAAAACATTTATTAGGTATTGATCCAAGCTTCCTTATCGTCAGACAATCTGCATCTTTCAGTAACAACAATGATCATTACCTTTTACCTTTACTATTCATCAATTCAAGCAAATGCAAACAAACCAAGAAACATAATAATTAAGAGTAATGTAGCCTTTATACCTGAGTCTCAAGTTTCTTCTGCCCAGCAGCAAGCGATCTTGTCAGTTCAGCGTTTGCAGCCTAAAACATTTAAATTTTTCATGTTTAATTACGAATCAGCCTAAAACAAATTAAAGCATTCGGTAATACCTCTAATCCGACCAAGCGTGCGAGAACTTCCATTCTAGTAGTGTTATGCTTCTGTTTTTCAATGTCAGCAGCTTCCAGTGTTTCCATCATGTTTGTTTGTAATTCCGCAGCCTAAACGAAAGAGGACAAACACATCATTTATGGGCCATCCAGCACGAGTAGTACAAATATCAAATCATAGTATCAGTATAGGTGTTCGCAGGCTTGTTGCAGCATCTTCTATCATATGCATATTGATCTTTGCTAATCAGACCCAAGAGTGCAACCAGTGTTCTGCTAGTGTCAGCGACAATGAGCATGCCTTTCTAATAAATTTGAGTCAAGTAATATGCATGCTTGCATTTTTTCCGTTGAAACACAACATAAAATTCAAGAGCAAACTTAAATATCTACTACGTTCATCATTGCAAGGAAAAAAAATTGGAGAAATGCTACCTCTTGTGCCTGTTGTTTAGCTCGTTCGTCAACTATTTTCTCCAAACTCTGTTTTTCGCCCTCAAGCCTTGCTACCATATTCTCTCGCTCTTTGATGACTGCTACAGCTTTTGTTGCAACTTTTTCGGCGAAAATCTTCTCCCTTCTTCTCCTACGCTCCTCCCTCTGACGCTCCCT